GGTGGATCCGCAATTATTCCAAAATACAAAGTTTTAAAAAACGTGAATAAGAAACAGCTCCTGACGTTAGAGCGATGGTCGCACAGAGGAGAGAGAGTCAAAGACAAAAAGCCAAGGGCGGTAAGCTGGTGCCGCGGGGAGGGCCAAGCGGGGAGGGGGCTGGTCTCCCCGGCGGGGGCGGGGCGGGGGGGCGGGGCGCCTTCCGAGCATGCGCTGTTCTGCCAGGGGCTCCGAACGCGAGCGCGATGGCTTGGGTTTTGTGTTAACTTTCACAGGCTCTCCCATGTGACCCAGCAACACAGGACAGGAGTCTTCCCCTTTTACAGAAGAGGGCGTGTGGGTCCACGAGACCCCAGCAGCCTCCCCAGTGGCAGCGTGCAAACCGCAGTCTCGGTTTCACTGGTCCCCAGTGAGAGCCCTGGGCTGACTCGGGTGGACGCCTGCGAGCCCGCCCCGTGCCCGCCTGGTTCTTGTCTCCTCTGCCTGGTCTGGGCACAGTGAATGTATTTTAAGGCTGGGGGGTGGGGGCGGCGTGATGGACAGGACACGCCGAGTCGCCTGAGCCCTGGACACGTGATGACATTAGCAGGGTACCCCCCCCCGCCCCCTCCCATAAAACACCTCCGTGCAGCCGCATGTGTCAGATAAAAGGGAAAACAAATACACATCCTGGAACAAAATGCTCTAAAGTCTCCTGGTTTTCAGGGGAGCAAGAGGCAGCGGTGCCGGCTGGGGGCGTGCCGAGGGGGATGGGCCGGAGCAGCACGGCCTACCTCCGGGGCGATGTAGTCGGGGGTCCCGCAGAAAGTGTTGGTCCTGGCATCTCCTACCATGTTCTCCTTGCACATCCCGAAGTCCGCTATTTTGATGTGTCCGTCTTTATCTAACAGGATATTGTCCAGCTTCAGGTCTCTGGAAAACAAAGCAAAATCTCACTTGAACAAATAGTTTTGTTAAAATGGAACCGCCACGTGAGGGGTGGTGCGTGTACCATCGTGGCCTGAAGGGTCTCGAGGGGGTGCTTTGCTGGTCCTCCCCCCTCCTCTCAACCCCGTCCTTCCATGTACAACTCGGCTCGTAGGCTCAGCTGCTTCTCCTCCGTCTTTTCCTACTCGATCAGCATCTCTGCTCTGGACCCACGGTCTTTCTTGGCCCAGGTCCGCTGTGTCTGGGCCTGGCTCTGACAGAGCTCTGTGTCTTCCACGCCCAGTGCGGCACGTGGCCCGTCCCCAGAGCTCGGTCAGTATCTCTCGTAGGAATGGCGGAGCAGGATGCTTGCTTTCCCACGCATGATCTTCTGAGTATTTGAAAAATGACACCAAGGTTCTGCTTGTCTTTTCCTGACCAAGCGGAGGAACTTTATTCCTCATTGGCATGGTTTTCACTCTCCAACATTGTGGCCCCTACCCAGGTCCACTTCCTAACCCACATTCAGCGCAACGTTGGTAGCATTTTGAGTTTCTGCTACATCAAACTTACTTGCCTCATTTATAGCCACATACATATGTTCCTAGGAATTTGGCTGAAGTTTGGTTTTGAGGTCATCACTAGGGAGCCAGATATCCAGAATAATGAACGTAACATCTAATATTAGAATTTATCTCACATGCATTTTATCATTTGATTCTCACAACAGTTCTTTGATCTGGAAATACTCTTGTTTTTCATATTTATCACATGGAAAATAAAGCCTCTTCAGCTTATGCAGTCTGTCCCAGCGCACATGGATGCAAATTAAAGCTTTACCCTCTTTTACAGTCCCTTAAACCAAGCTCACCCAGCCTTTTGCAGTGAACCAATCCTGCTATGATATCCAGAGTCCGCTGTGACTGCCAAGGGTACATTGTAGCCAGTTCTAAAAATAAGTGTTCTCTAGGCTTCAGGTTAACAAGCTGCCTGTCCAGCTCTCAGCCCACCCTCTGAAGTGGGCCAGGTGAGCTGGAGACAAGGTCACTGAAGTGTTGAGAGATCTAAGTCAGAATAGGGAAGGTCCACAGGCCTGCCGTGCAGAGCCGGCCCCACGAGGGGAAGGAAGGGCTGAGGGCAGAGGGATTCAAGCTAGAAGAGACACAGGACCCAAAGGCCAGAGTGTCCACTGCGCCTCACACAGCTCACAGGATGCCAGCAAGGAACTTCAGGGCCCAGGTCACCTGGCGTGGCTCTGGGAAGCACCTGCCTCCCCTGGGGCAGCGCATCAGGCATCAGGTGCGAGGAGGATTCAGTGGAAGCCTTTATTTCCGTTGTGTGGTGAACATAAGCAAAGCTTTTCCATTTGGAGGAGGCAGAGGGGGAGCCAGAAGAGCCCACTTCCAAACGCAAGTCTTACCGCTCCGCTCAGCCGAGCCGATCAGCCCCTCTCTGGGCCTCTGGTGACTTATCTGTGAAGTTGGCACAGTGCCTTCAGGTCATCCTGCCTCTTCCCTTCACGTCAGGTTCTCAGCTGTCCCTCCTCACCGTGGTTACCACGCGGGCCTGCAGCCACCCAACCAGCACCCTGTCTCTTTGTTCCATGTAACTCTCCCCTTGATCTGCAGTGAGGCAGGAACCAGATAGCTAAGCTTTTGAAGATGTGGACGCTCGGCAGAGGTCAGCTGTGCTTTGAGAAATTAAGGCGGCCGCAGTACAGTAGCTTGACTCTAAGGATGTGAGATGATGGTGGACAACGGGTTCCGGACAGACATCCGCTCGTGGAAGAGGGCGTGCGTGGCGTCCTGTGCACTTCGACACGGTGTGGGCGTGTGGCTCTCCGCAGGTGTGTCTGAGTGTTCGAGGAGGAACTCCCCTGCTCCCCCAGCCCAAAAGGAGGACATTCAAAGAGCAAATCCGGACAAGAACAAGAGCTACAAAGGAGACAGAAGAGAGGGAGCGACGGAGAGACGGCAAAGGGAAAGAGTAACGGAAGGAAATGAGGCAGAGGCGAGAGTGAGGATAAGAGGGTCAGAACAAAGAACAAAACATGGTCAGAGCTCCACTCCGCCTGAGACTGGAATTTCTCCCTTGGTTGACAGTAGTCACATCCATGCTGTCACCGTGGGCAGGATGCCTGAGTGTGGAACTTCCTGCCACCAAGGCACACTGACCACCTCGCGTCACTCAAGCACAGCGGTTAAATCACCCGGACCAGGAAATCTGGGCGCCCCGGCACCTGTCTCTGAGGAGTGAGATTTACCTGTAGACGATTCCCTTGGAATGAAGGAACTGCAGACCGAGAATGATTTCAGCAGCATAAAACCTGCGGGAAGGAAAAACCAAGGTTTCAACATGAATGTTTAGCAGAAAACCAGACCCCCCCCCCCCTTTGTGCAAGCGAGCACTCTGGGCAGCACTCTGCTGCACACACGTACACAGGCAGTTTTGCACACGTGCAGCTTTGCTGAATTAAAAGGAAGATGTTATCCGTCATCCGTTGTACACGTCCAGCTTCAGCCCTGGGAGGATGACACAGCTGGCGTCTTTGGTCCTTCCTGCATCCAGTGCGGACCCTTATATTTTAAAGTATGCTCAAGCTGTCATTTTTTTTGGCTAATAAAACATAAACACTAAATGTAACAATGCAATAGGGAAATAATTTTCCCTTTTATCTTAAAATCTCCTTGGACCCCTTAGACCCATGTGCAGGGCCATTCCACATAGACCTGACCCGTTCAAGGGTAGGAAATGCAGCCTGAGGGGGAGGAGAAATACAGGCGGACCTCGGCGATGCCGTGCGTCCGGGTGCAGACCACTGCAATAAAGGGAGTCACGGATGGTTTTTGGTTTCCCAGTGCAGATAAAAGTTATGTCAACACTACACTGCAGTCTGTGAAATATGCAATCGTCTGAATGTCTAAAAAAAACCAGTACATACCTTAATTTAAAAAATGCTTTATTGCTAACCACCATCTGACAACACAGGGTTGCCACAAACCGTCAATTTGTAAAAAAACAAATAAAAAACCCTGAAGTATTTCCCAAGCACAAGCAGGTGACGTGCAATAAAACGAGGTATGCCTGCATTAGCAGCTGGGAGGTGAAACCTGGCTTCTCCACCTTCAGTGGTGACAGACTCAAAGCAAGTGAGTTCCCAGCATCACAACTGGGATTAAAGTCAGACCGAAGGGAGAACTTCCTGCAGGTGAGGTCTGCCGGGTCTCAGAAGAATGCAAAGACCCCTCCTGGGAGGCAGTGAGGACAGATACACATGTGTGTCTGTGACGGCCTTCACGCCTCACAGAGCGGGAGGGGACGGGAGGTGGAGACAGTCCTTTCTAGCAGGAAGGTGCCCATGATTTGCTGCAGAAATCCCATAAAACTGCCTCTGGGCACTTGGCTGATGGTTCCTGGAGCCAACGGGATCAGTGGCATGCTGTCCCCTGGGCTCCACAAAACAGCCGTTTCAGCCCAGGTTTCCGTAGGAGCTGGTGGAACAGCCGAGCACCCCCCCAAGGTCCGTCGGGGGGAGTGAAAGACTGCTGAGCACACAGCCAAGGGGCCAGTGTGCACCGCACTTGTAAGTGTACCCGGAGGCAGGGTTTTCTGGCTTTTGAATGTCACCAGCGGTTTGATTACTCAGGAAAGAGGGCCCACGGGGGGCCGGGCCGAGGGGGTTCTGTAGGACCCAGCTGCTGTCCCACCTCGTAAGCTCTGCCTGCTCGCTTTTGCCTGCGTCTAGCTTGATGCCAAAGAAGGTAAAGATTTAGTCGAGAGAGAGAGAGAGGGAGAGGGAGAGGGAGAGGGAGAGGGAGAGGGAGAGGGAGGGAGAGAGAGAGAGAGAGAGAATGAATGTGCCTCTTCCTGTCTCCTAATTCTCCAGCCCCCAAGGCCAAATGCTTTCCGCCTTCACACAGAGCCTCCCATTACAAGTCTCCAGCCCATGACCCCCTTCACAACGTGTGTTCCCTCTGACTTCTATTCAGAGGGCAAATACTGCTCCTGGGGCAGATTCTTTAGAAGCCGGATGAATTGGGGTGGTTCCTTAAGAAACTAAGTAGTTGATTTGAAAACAGACAAATGAAGCAAAACCGGCTTGAGTTCAAGCTTCTCAGGCTGGGAAGACAGTTGCCTCATTTGATGTGTCCTGGGGTCACCTGGCCCCCTGGGGTTTAGGCTCGCTGAGCGAGGAAACAGGAAAACGGCCAGGTGGGAAGAGCACCCTCTGGGCACTGTGGGTCCTCAGTGCCCGACGCGGACGGGGGACCCAGCCCTGCGTGGGCTCTTACGTTGCTCTGCAGAGATCGAACTTGTGGCAGCTCTGGATGTGGTACATCAGGTCTCCCCCGTTGAGGTACTCCATCACGAAAAAGAGGTTTTCCTGGGGAAAAACACAGCAACCCCAACTTTTAGCTTCTTTAAGAAAAGAAAAAGCAAGCAAGGATTACTTTTTCAGTAGATTCATTATTTCAGAGGATCCAATTCTGATTTGAAATCCCTTACAAAAAGGCTGCCAACAGTACAGAAGTTCCTTAACAAACGAAAACAGACTTACCATATGATCCAGCAATCCCACTCCTGGGCATCTATGTGGAGAAAGCTCAAATTTGAAAAGACACATTCACCCCAGCAATCACAGCAGCACTGTTTACAACAGGCAAGACGTGGAAACAGCCTAAGTGTCCATCCACAGATGACTGGATAAAGAAGATGTGGCATATATATACACACACACACACACACACACAATGGGGTGTTACTCAGCCATAAAAGAGAATGAAAGCATGCCATCTGCAGCAACCTGGGTGGACCTAGAGACGATCATACTAAGTGAAGTAAGTCAGAGAAAGACAAATACCATGATTTTTTTTTGTGGCATCTAAACAAATGATACAAATAAACTTAATTATAAAACAGAAACAGACTCACAGACATAGAAAACAAACGTACGGTCACCAAAGGGGAAAGGGGTGGGGGAGGGATAAATTAGGAGTTTGGGATTAGCAGATACAAACCACTATATATAAAATAGATAAACAACAAGGCCCTACTGTGTTGCACAGGGAACTAGACTCAATATCCTATAATAAACCGTAACGGAAAAGAATATGAAAAGGAGTATGTATATAACTGAATGACTGCTGTACACCAGAAACAAAGACAACATTGCACACTAACTAGACGTCAATAAAAAAAACAGACTGGCAAGAGAACTTAGCTGATCTGTAGCAGTCTGAACGCCAAGGGGCCCGGGGAGCCTGGGAGCCGTGTGTGACACGCTTGCTAGGATGCTGTGATCCGGCAGGTGGGGCAGAGCACGTGGAAGGGACCAACTGGACTCGCCCACCAGACAGTGCGAGGGTGTCGGGCACCTGCTGGGTGTTAACTGTGTACGTACGACGTTGACAGTGCAGAGGACGGTGCGCAGAGCACATGTCGGGGGCTCTGACTCCAGGGGCCTTGAAGGCACTGAGCCCTGCGGCACTCGGCAGCAGTCGGGAACACACTCTGCCAGAGTGCGGGTGGGGCGCCCGTGCCTGCCCCACCCACCAAAGACGAGACGCAGCAGCCCTGCCTTCAGGGAGCCCACAGTCAGGTCTAGTCTGCCTTCTCGCCAGCCCCGATGTCACCTGTGGCCTGCCCCAGCTTAGAGCCAGCGTGTCTCTCCGGGCAGGACGCCATGCGTGTTACTGGAGCCGGGGCCCCTGGATGGCAGCCGCCGGAAGCAAGGCTGAGTGGCCTTCAGGTTGTGGTCAGCGTCTCAGAGGTGGTGACTTCCTGGGAGCCCGAGCTCCTCCACTAGGTGGGACCATGTGTCCTCAGAGAGGACACCTAGGAGCTGTGAGCACCCCGATTTCGAGAGTCCTCAGGAACCACAGAATGAGTCATCTGTTTAGTGTGGAGAAGGTTGGCGTGTCTGTGCATGAATTTGCGCCTGAAAACCTCACCTGGGTGACTTTTTAACAGAACTAACCTTTAAGTTTTGATGTGAGGCTAACCGAGAGGCCCTGGGGCATACGAGGTGACAGGGGGAAACTGTCTTCTGGCCCGACAGTGACACCCACTGCCCGCCCTCGGCACTGAGGCCGGGCCTCCCCAGAACTGGGAAACCAAGTACTGGGGCAACTCTCTCAACTGGTGAAGGTAAATGTCCTACTTTCCCCAAAGTGGATCTCGGATCTAAGTCACTGGCACCATGTGTCCTTCACTGGAGCCCACCCTTCCTCTGGTGGAAAGGCCAAAACTCTCCGCTGGCATAAACCCCAACTTAACATGGATATTTCTGGTGTAATTTGAGGTCAGCCCCTTGCCCCGCGGGCACACGCTGCTTCCTCGTTAACACACCTCACGAGCTCTTGTTCTCATGATTCAGTAGGGACAGCTTCTCACCTTCACCGTTTTACCCCAAACTGTGACGGCCTGTCCTCACAGCCATGGCATCTTCTAAGTGCTCAGGAGAACGAAAGGTGAGAAAGCGTCAAGTAAGACGGTTTATTACAGCGCTCAGAGGGGAGGGTCCTTTTAAGCATAAGGATGCTTACTAACTCCTGTAAGGGCTGACATTTCGGAACTTGCAGATGGTCAGTTTGGACTTGGAGAAAGTGGGGGAAGGTGACTCCAGGGAGAAGGGTAACCCTAACCTCTACAGTGGTCCCATCAGTTCCCGTGTCTAAATCAGACTCTGCACCTAGCAGGGCTGGACTGTGCAGTGGATGAGAACATAAGAAAGCACAGGGTGGGACCAATGCTTGCTACCATGGGCATCCCCAAAGGACCGCGCTGCCGCAGGACTAGTGATTACACAGCAGTGGGATGTACAGCATGTTAGGTGCCACACTTAATTCTTCTTCTTTTTTTTTATTTAGAAACAAAACATTTATTTAGAAACAAAATATTTAGAAATCCAACATAAAAATCTGGATTTTGGCCTTCTCTTGAAACATCAGAAGCCTTTGGAGGGCGTGATGGCTGCCCCTTCAGAAGCCCGAGCTGTCCTGGCATCTTGGTCCAGCCCCTTTCACTAGTTTTTATGATCTGTTTGGTCCCTGAAGGCCACTTGTTTTCTGTGGGGAGAGTAGGGTGGGGAGTGACTGAGGCGATGGTGGTGATGGTGTCTGAGTTGATTTTTTTCTTTGTTTTCCTTTATTTATGTATTTATTTTACAATATTTTTAAAATTGAAGTATAGTTGGTGTACAACATTATATGTTACAGGTATATAATATGGTGACCCACAATCTTAAAATTAAAAAATGTTTTCCATTTATAGTTATTGTAAATATTGGCTCTAGTCCCCGTGTTGCACAGCACATCCTTGTAGCTTATTTTGTACCTGACACTCGGTACCTCTTCCTCCTCCACCTCCGTCTTGCCCCTCCCCCTGCCCCAGTGGTCACTTCTCTACATCTGAGTCTGTTTCTTTTCTGTTCCATTCACTAGTCTGACAGCACATGTAAGTGATAAATTACAGCATTTGTCTCTCTCTGTCTGACTTATTTCACTCAGCATGATGCCATCCAAGGCCATCCTTGCTGTGCACCAGAAACTAATAAACATGTACAATCAACTGCACTTCAGTCAAAAAGCAAATGGACAACCTGTTTAAAATATGGGCAGAAGAAATGGACATTTTTCCAAAAGAGGAAATGCAGATGGATGCCACGCTTAATTCTACTACAAGATTTTATGGCTCCGCAGTCTTTCAAAAGTCTGTTCCAGTTCTCATGTTTGTATTAATCCCTTTGATTGTCTTTGGTTATTTACGGTGGAATTCTGCTTCAGTGTAAGCCTTTGGTTTGGGTGAATACCAGTGAAAATGCGGGCTTAAGGGGGAGGAGGGCAGTCCATGCCTGGAGGTCCCGCTTGGGCGGGCAGGATGGGGAACCCACTATCCCTGTGGTGAGTGGGTGTTGTTCTGAGGATCCCTGCCCGCTTCGAGGGGGTTCCGATAGCTGTTTGGAAGTCTCGAGATGCCATTCCTCCAGGGAACGGCTGGGTCCACTCTGGGCCCAGTGAGATGGGTCTGTGATGAAATCAGCACAAACATTTGCGCACATAAACAGGGCAGCCCTGGGGTCTGGGTTTTGAGGATCACATTTTGAAGGATGGATAAACCTTTTACAAGTTGAATCCCAAACCCCAGTCTTAAAAAGTAAACCTATAATAGACTCAAACTTTCCTACATGGATGGGGAAAAAGTACTCAGAGCCGAAGGAACCCTGCAGGGACGACCAAGGGCGTCAGAAAGAAAGACCCTCTGGATTGGGTCTGGAAGAGCCACACCCAGGAGGGCGAGACTCAAGGCAACCGTTAGGACCACAGGCTTTGCCCTTACGCAGACCCGAGTTCCGGGTTCCTCTGTGCAGTTGAATCCTCCCCTTGTAAAATCGTAGGAGTAACAGCCCTGCTTCATAGGTTTGTCATGAGCATTCAGTGGGGTGATGCATGCAGAAGGCGTGCTTAGGGCTGGCCCTCAGCACACACTGCTTGACCGGTCGCGGTTGTCATGATAGGAGGCAATGGAAAAGCCAGTCAGAAAGAAACAGATCCCAACAGAACGAAACACGTGGAGAGAGACTCCAGGTTCATAAACAGGAAGACAGTATTATATTGCCAAGATGTCAGTTCTGCCAAGCTTGACCTACAGATTTAGCACATGCCAACCCAAACCCCAGTGAGTTACTTGGTGGGGATCGGCAAACTGATTCTGAAGTTTACCCGGCGCAGAGGCAAAAGATTCAGGGTAGGTCGCAAAATTTTGAAGAATCAAGTTGAAGGACTGACACTGTCAGATTGCAGGACTTACTATAAATCTACAGTAATCAAGACACTGGCAGCACTGGTGAAAGAGACGACCACAAGATCAATGGAAAAGAACTTCAGTCATAAAGGAACAGACGTACGTTCATTTTCGTTTTCTTTTTGATCGTAAGTTACTACAGGATGTTGAATATAGTTCCCTGTGCTGTACAGTAGAAACTTGTAGACTCACAGCCATAGAAAACAAACAGGGTCACCAGCGGGGGAAGGGGGTGGGAAGGGATACATTGGGAGTTGGAGATTTGCAAATGCTGACAACTGTATATAAAGTAGGTAAACAACTGTGTCTTCACTCTGTTCCATCCAGAGCTGAGAGAAAGGCAAACAGGCGAGCGAGGGGAATGTGGCTTGTGACCCATGTCACCAGAATACAGACCTCTCTTTATGCTGCTGACACATTAACTGATGAGAATGACTCTTCCAGGGGAGTAAGCCTCGAAGCTGTAATGCTGTTGGGGGATGGGGGTGCTCCCTGGAAACAGACTTTGTCCACATTCTCATTTCCGTGTGCCGCTAACTAGCTGTGTGACCAGGTGAATCCCACCCTCCCTGGGCCTCAGCC